TTCCACTGAGCATAAGGTAAGTGCTCAGTCAATGCTGCTTGTTTTCAGGATGGTCAATCAAAGCAGGCTGCTGATAGGAGGCATGGATGCAAACATCTAAACATCATCTCAGCCCTGCACCAGATCCACCCTTGGTCTCTGGTCATTGTATAAGGAGAAGCCCTGGATCCATGTAAGGAGGTGGGGAGGCAGTAAGCAGAGAAACAACTTGGATCTGATCCACATTGTTCAGAACTCTCTTCCTGGGTGCTTTTTGGAGGATGGGAGGAGTTATGCTGAGAGGAAGGCACTGAGTTTGGTCACCTGTGTAAGGTTGCAGAGGAAGGGGTTTTTCCTAGGAGAAGGAGATGGACACTCAGAGATGAGGTGGGGACAGAGTGTACCTGCACTAGAACAACACGTGAGGCTGTCCCAGTGCAGGCAGACGTGAAGTGCCCAACATGAATGCAATGCAGATGATTCGGGCAAATTCACAGCAAAGACCATCTGCTGGCCATTCTGGGAACAGCACCCAGTATGACCACCTGTGGGAGTCCCAGGACTGTTTCTGCAGGAGACCAAGAACCCCAGATATCTTTGCCTGATCCCCACCACCTCTATACCTGATGCTCGTCTCACAAGTGTCCCTGTCCACACACAGCCTTCCCCTGGGGCATCTTTATGTTGCCAGCCTAGGAGGAGGCAGTACTATATCTTTCATGTAGTCATAAGGGAAGAAAGGTCAGGTATGGTGTGATCAGCAGTCTGTCCCTCCAAATATGTGTCTGTCCTGATCACAGGACAGTGAGTAGTTTTAAGTGGAGCAAATGTGAAACCCTTCACACAGCGATAAAAACAGCCCTGCCCACCCTGGTCCCATTTCCTCTGGTCCTAGACATGTTTATTTGTTCAGCTTTGCATGCAAAGCTCTTTTGCAGACCATGAGTTGAGGAAGAAGAGGGCAGGACCAGGAGGGCATTCAAGTAGAGAGTGACAGGTGAATCTGTGAGTCAGTCCACTTAGAAGCATCTAGATCATACAGGGTGCCAAGACTATGTGATCCATGGGAATTGCTGGGGAACTCAAATGAGGACAAATGCTAAGACTTGCTAGGGACCTAGGCAGTGTTTCTCCTAGCCTGTCAGGGTTACCCCAAAGTTCCAGGGAGATTCAACTCTTGCCCCAGTTCCAAAGAAGAAGGTGCTAGGGCTTATACAGTTGACCTTGAGCAGTCCCAGAACTGGCTCCCCTGGCTCTCTAGCTGGGTTCAAGGCAAATGAACCCTCAAGAGCCACTGACCCAACACAATTGTTTCTGCTAGCGAATTTTCAATAGCCTGAAGCTGTTCAGCTTTTCAGGCTCGCTATACTGTGGGGTTTGTAGCTGAAGGTGGCCATATGGAGGCAGTTACTACAGCGAAGGTCTCCATGCCCTGCATGGCTGAAGCCTTGGGCCTGAGAAGAGAGATGGAGAACCTGAAGCAACAAGTCAGCACCACTGTGCTCTCTTGTGAGCTGTGGGGTTGTCCACTCTGACACTTCCAGGCCTCGAAGAGTGTTCCCACAATGAAATACTATCACAGCAGCAATGAAGGGCCACCTGGAGGACACTGTGTGACATGGAATAAGACAGATAGATGCAGAGCAGTACTACACATTCACCCCAACATGCGGAGGCTAAAGTAACTTTATACAAATAGTGAGAAGTGCCAACCCTGGTACTCTGAAGTACAACTGAGTTTATTTACCACCAGGCAAAACACTTGCTTGGTGATAAATAAAAAAATAAATAAATAATATATATATAAATAAATTATATATATATAAATGAATTATATATATAAACTATATATATATGTCACAATAACACACACATAAGGTCTTTTTTTTTGTATTTTCTTTCTTTTTTTGTTTTTTTATTTTTTATTGTTGCTTACATTGTATTATGTAGTACAGTTTTATAGGCGCTGGGGATTCCCCCCACCCCTCCCATTCCCCTCCCCCCCATGGTGGATTCCTCCACCTTGTTGCATAACCATAGTTCAAGTTCAGTTGAGATTCATTGCTTGCAAACACATGCCTAGCATAAAGTTCAGCGTCTTATTGTCCAGATAAGTTCAGTGGCCTCTTGGGGAGACCTTCTATGGTCTGAAGATAGGTCTAACAGAGTAAAGGTCCGGTCAGTTAAAAGCCCCAACAAGGCCTCAGTATCAATATACAACATTATGGAATTAATTGACATAGTATTGGGTAAACAATATGTTAAAAATAATGCAAGTTCCATTCTTCGAAACATCTGGGTTGAGACAGTATCAATGACAGGTTCAAAAAATAACAAACAACCAAACAAAAAATTACAGGTTAAATCAAGGCAAACATGTGGTATCTAATCTTTTGGGATTCGCTCATTTCCCTTAGCATTATAGTTTCCAGTTGTGCCCATTTAGCCACAAAGAACTGCATTTTGTTTTTTTAATAGCTGAGTAGTATTCCATGGAGTAGATGAACCAAAGCTTTCTTATCCAATCTTCTGCTGATGGGCATTTCGGTTGCTTCCATGTTTTTGCAATTACTGATTGTGCTGCAATGAACATAGGGATGCATGTTGGTTTGTCGTGAAACAGGTGTTTTGGATATATTCCTAGGAGTGCTATTGCTGGGTCATATGGTATGCAGATTTTGAGTTGTTTGAGTGTTCTCCAGACTGATTTCCATAAAGGCTGTACCAATTTGCAGCTCCACCAGCAGTGGAGTAGGGTTCCCTTTTTCCCGGCATCCTCGCCAGCAAGCGTCGTTGGTGTTCTTGTTTATGTGGGCCAATCTTACTGGTGTTAGGTGGTACCTCATAGATGTTTTAATTTGGATTTCCCTTATTGCTAGGGAGCTGGAACATTTTTTCATATGTTTGTTTGCCGTTTGGACTTGTTCCTTTGTGAAATGTTTGCCCATTTCCCGTGCCCATTTCTTGAGTGGCTTGTTTGTTTTGGTTTTTTGGTTGTTTTGAAGTTCTTTGTATATCCTGGAAATTAGCCCCCTATCGCCTATATCGTGTGCAAAGATCTTCTCCCACTCTGTGGGTTGCTTTTTTACTTTGTTGATTGTTTCCCTTGCTGTACAGAAGCTTCTTAGTTTGATGAGGTCCCATTTGTTTATTCTGTTCTCAACTGCTATTGCTTTTGGTGTCCTTCTTAGAAAGTCGGGACCTACTCCTAGGTCTTGCAGGGTATTTCCTACATTTTCTTGCAAGAGTTTGAAGGTTTCTGGATGTAGGTTTAGGTCTTTTATCCATGTAGATTGGATCTTAGTGTATGGTGATAGATGTGGGTCTATTTTTTTGTTTCTACAGGCTATCAGCCAGTTGTCCCAACAACATTTACTAAAGAGGCCTTCCCACTTGCTTGAGCTGTCATTGGTCTTTTTGTCAAAGATTAATTGGCTGTATTTGTGTGGGTTCCCTTTTGGTGCTTCTATTCTATTCCATTGATCTTCCTTTCTGTCTTTGTGCCAGTACCAGGCTGTTTTGATAACCATTGCTCTATAGTATGTCCAGAGGTCCGGGATTGTGATTCCCCCTGCTAACTTCTTATTTTTCAGGATGGTTCTAGCTATTCGTGGTTTTTTGTGTTTCCAGATGAACTTTTGAATCATTGTATCCAGTTCCGTGAAGAATGTTTTGGGCAATTTGATTGGAATTGCGTTGAAAATGTATATTGCTTGTGGTAGCATAACACATAAGGTCTTACACGTTTACTTTTTATGTATAAAGCCAGAATGAGTGACAGGTAAAAGGAAGAAATAATACACACACATACATACAAAGATGTATTCCATCACCTGGTTTATTCTGCTAACAGCCTAAACAGCCCGAGTTGGGACAGGCAGAAGCCAGGAGTGTGAAACTCCATCCTTGCCTCTTTTACAGGCTGCAGAAGGCCAAGCATCTGGGAATGGTCCATTGCCTTTCCAGGACAATTAAACAGGAACTGGATTGGAAACAAAGTAGCCTGGACTCAACCTAGAAGTCCAAAATGGGAGCCAATGTGGCAGGAGCACTTTGGACTGCTGCACTATCACCAAGTGCAAAAAGCTTGACTGTTAAAGGAAGGGGACAATTGAGCACATGAACAAAGAGTGACTTTATATGTATCCTTGTTGGACGTATGTACATCCTTGTTGGAGATATGACCTGATTCTGTGGAGTTCAGGAGGAACACGGGCACCAGCAGGTGGCTGTGTCTGTTTCTTCTGTTTGTGCAGTGGACTTTGTTCTGACCTCCATGACTGCTTCCTGAGCTCTAGCCTGTGTGTAGCACTGCAATTGTCCCTGCCCCTGTGTGTGTTCTTACCCTGCAAACAGGACTCTCCCTGGGGTTGTCCCACCCACCACTGGACACCCAGTCTGAGCCTGCCATGGGAGGAACCACTCAATGTTCCTGAATGCCTCTGACATGAGCATCTCTCTGTAAATAACTAACCACTTCAAAGCAAATCCAACGTGTCCCTTCCTCAGCTTCCTCCTCTGAAAAAGGAATGAATGATACTGAGTGAGTGATCATAGCCCTCTTTCTCCTGCCAGTCATTGGAGGCAGAAACCCCTGGTTCTCCAACTCTATCACCAGCCTCCTGAGAGGAGGTAGGCTCAGGCTCTCTGCAGGTATCAAGTGCTTTTCACATGCATGGAACAGCCACTGTGCTCTGGGGACTCTATTCTGGGGGACATGCTTGTCCTGTTGTGCTGGGACTGCCTCAGTGTCCTCATTGTAAGTCCTGAGTCTGATAAGCTCCATTCTCAGGCCAACCAAGAGAGTTGGTCACCCTGTTGCAACTCCATTGTCTCCATGGGGCCCAGATTATTCTTGTCCTCACATGAGAGGCTGACTCAGACCTCATCTCTGTAAATCAGCTCTCAGATCTCAGGAACAGGCCAGAGGGGAAGAGGTAATGAAGGAAAGAAACCGAACTTAGGACTTGCTGAGAGATCTTTATTCTTTATTCTTTATAGAGGATGTGAGATCATCAGCATTAGCGGAAGTGAATTCCAGTGATCTGGAAAAGAACAGGGAGAAGACATATCAATGAGTCAACATCAGAAATTAAAGAGTTGAAGGAATGGGGTACCTCCCAGCCTGACCACTCATTCCCTTTGAATCCCCGGGAGAAAAACTTGCCCTCTTTGAGCCTCAGTTTCCCCCTCTGATTGGAGTAGTGATCACATTACTTACCTCATTAATAGCTCCTGATTAGACTATTGACTAAGGTCCTATCACATCCCCCTTTTCATATTTCCTTGGTCTTTAAGTGGTGGTCACTGCTGTTATCATGGACAATAATGGCCCCTGTGACCAGCTTTCCCAGATAACACCTGAACTGCTTTTTCCCATCACAGCTTTCAGTGTTAGGTTAGGAAGAGCAGAAATGACTCTACTACCCTGTACAAGTCAAGCTGACACTCCCATCCAGGAATGTATGGAATCCCAAATCACCCAAACATTGTCCCTGCACTGGAGGTCAGCACCCTCCATGATGTGTACCCCATGCTGCATATTACATGCACATGCAAATGGAGGAGGTGATAACTTATCCCATCCCACACGAAGAAGATGTATCAAGGCCCAATGCTGCATACCTTAGGTATACAATTCAATCACATGGTAACCTTGCTATGTGGAAGTGACACTGGCCGTTTCCCACAAGGAGCACTGCATCACACTCTCTCTCCTGACTAATCAAACTGCCTGAACTAAAAGCCTCTTTCTCTCTAGCACTTGCTCTCACTTTCTCTAGAAACTGTCCCTGAATAAGAAGTGTAAAATTCCATGGCCACACAGAGAGAACACATTCCTGGGATCTTCAGGAATGTGCCCAAGGACCTCCCCCCACTGCCTTTCTAGGATCCCTGCAACCCTCACCAGGATCTGACTTTCCTTCCAGGCATCCAGTCCCTCTCAAGAGAGCTCCCAGCTGCCCAGTCCTTACCTCCTCAATCCAGTCAATGAAGGCCGACACACGGGTGAAAACTGTGGGCTTCTTGGGGAAATTGCAGCCATAACCAGAACCAAAGCTGACTATGCCGTGGATCTCACACTCAGCATTCACTCCAGGACAGTTGAGAGGTCCTCCAGAGTCACCCTGTCATGGTCAGAGGGGTGGGGACTGAGCCACGTCTCAGCTGGAAGGAATTGTCCCTAACCTGGGGGTTGCAGACACACCCACACTGCTGCACCTCTCCCAGCCTCAGGGCCTCAGCTGGCCAGGACCAGGGTCTGTGCTACCACAGCTGCTGAGCAGGAAGGGACACACACAGGACCTCAGCACAGCCCCTGGCACAGAGGAGCCGGAGACGCCAGCTCCCCCTGCTGACAGCACCTTCCCTGCTGCCTAGGAGGACTCAGCTGCCACAGCACAGTGGTTGAGGATCCCTGCAGAGCCCAGAGTGGGTGACTGGAGGTGGTGGTGCGAGAGTCCCTGCTGTGCTGCTGGGGAAGCCTGAGCAGGAGGAGGGACAGTGATGGTCCCAGGTGAGGGGGCCTGTGATCTGGGCCAGGATTCAGGGTGTGGGCTGTGCTGACTTCCTCCATGACCTGCCTGACCTGAAGCCTGACTGGATTCAAGTCTATCTCCAGGTAGCTGGCTGAGAGTCACTGGGATGTGCCTTCCTATGGTAAGTATTAGCCAACTTACACTACATGCAGAGGATCCGGCCTCGCCAGCACACACATGGATCTCCTTCACGGTTGAACCCCAGTAGTCCCACTGAGAGCAGTGTGCGTAGTCTATCACTGGCAGCAGCCCCTTCAGTAGAACATCTGAGATTGGCCCGTTGGCTGTAGGGACAGAGAGCAATGTGAGTGGGTTTGGGACATGGCTAGGTTCCCAGAGGTGGGGTATTCGAGGCCCACATATTCTCAGATCTGATGAGGACTCCCTCCCAACAGTCCCACCATCCTGTATGCACCACTGCATTATTGGCCATGGTCCTGAGGGCCCTGTCATTCTGCTGCTGTTCCTGGTCAGTACATACTGGAAGTGTAGCCCCAGCCAGTGACACAGCATGTTGTCCCATGTGGTAGGATGTAGCCAGGAGGAGGAAGGTGGCCAGGTTGGACTTCAGCTGTCAGCACAGCACTGTAGTACAGCTTGAGGAGAGCAATGTCATAGCTGTGAGGGAGAAAGAGTCACCTGGAACCTGGTCCTCCTACAAGACCAAGTCCCATCGCAGACCTTTGTTCAAAGGCTATACATTTGGAATACCCTTACTGCTCCTATGCCCTTGAATCCAGCTTTAGCTCAGCCAACTCCAGAAACGCCCACCTCTTTGGTCCCTGACAATCTTTTGCTGTCATAACTGTCCTTGGTTTCCACCTATGGTCATCACAATCCACACTCATCAGAATTCCTGTGTTCTGTCGCACATTGGGCTATGAATTGGGCATAGTGACTTAGAGGTACATATTATATCACAGTGCTGAAGTTCAAGTTCACACTCAGATTCTCATCCAGCTTCCTGTTCATGTGCACTGTGGATTAGCAGGTGATCAATCAAATGCTTGGATTTCAGCTGCCCACTTGGGAAACTGAGAGAATTCTAGGCTCTTTTCATTTGAGTAGGGGACCAGCAAAATATACATTCTCTCTCTCTCTCTCTGTCTTTCTGTCTCACTCTCTCCCACTAAAGTAAATAAATATAAATAAGTTTTCTAACTTATAATGTCACACAGTTTTCAGGGAATGAACCCAGCCTTTCTGAGAAGGTTTATGGCTGATAGAGTCAAAGTCTGATCTTACTTGCTATTCCCAGGGGACTCTAGTGCCACTGCTCCCACACTTCAAGGACCACTTCACTGCCTGCTGTCACCCAGAACACTTCACTTGGGTCACTCTACTGTGTCTCCCTACTGCCCAGGAAGCTGTGCGAGGATGTGTCGGGGTCTCCATAAAATGTTCCTCACTTCCATAGTGCTTAATGAGGGCTTCGTCCCTCCTATGATCCCTCACCAGAAAGCGCTATAGCTCCCAGACACACAGGTGAGGCCTCAGCTGGCCTCCCTGCCCATCACTACCACCACCATGAAGGCATGCTCCAGGGTCATCTTGGACAAATGGAAACCTGAGGCCCAGAGCAGGGCACTCACTGCCCAGGGCACTCAGGGAGGGACACCCACAGCACTGACAGTCCAGTGCTTCTCCTCTGACAACACAGCCATGAACCAGGCTGTGCTGGAGGAAACCTCTGCTGAGCACATGACACCTTGAGATTGGAGAAGGAGCCTGAGGGTCCTGGGCTCCAGGAACACTGAGCCCAGCAGCTCTGAGTGACATCCTGCCTCTCCCTGGAACTGTTTTTTCCCTGTGCAGTGGCAGAGGTTGGTGCTGCTGGTTCTTGAGCCTCTTCCCAGTGTGTGGGAGCTGGGCCCAGGCTGCTTACCCTCCCACTGTCCCTGGGAGTCTCCTAGATGAACTGTGGTTCATGGAGGGAAGAACACAGGAGCCTGGTCTCAGGCTGGTCTCACTCACCCTTTGGCTGCGTTATTGTTGTCATATTCTGGATGCACATAGACCTTTCCCACAGGGATGACCTGGTCAGATGGCTCTGGTTCACTCAGGTTGTACCTGCCCAGCAGCACCCAATATGGTCCACCATCTCTGAAAGAGAAAGGGAGGTCAGCCTGGGCCTATCAGTGAATTTGTCATATTCATGTGTTGACTCATACTGCCTGGGTCTTACAAGGAAAAAGATCAGGGCAGGAATAGGGACAGTAGAACTCACACGACACAGTGTGCTGCAGTCAGAACCCAGTCACGGTCGATGAGGCTCCCTCCACAGATGAAGTACAGGCCCCCATTCTGTTCAAGCAGCAAGGCGACCTGGCAAGCCCCAATCCCCGAATAAATCAGGCTAGAAATCTATACACACAGTGAGGGTTGCTGTCTGGGTTTTGCACTGAACATCCTGAGAAGGCATATTTCATACAGAGAACACTAGATCCTTCTAAGACACTCAGCACACAATCTGTACAGCTGCTCAACTGGGTCTATCTCTTTTACTCTAGGACAACTCAGAATCCCCAGTCTCCCGACACCAGACCCTGTGTGCTCTCCCAAAGACTCCCACATTCTCTGCCCTTTAGGGCACTCCAAACCATCTGCACCCTGAGAGCCCCCAAGACCCTTTAATCTCTCAGGCCACATTCTTCTGATCCTCAGCTCTTCCAAACTTCTTGGATCTTCTGAAGCATGACTCACCCTGAATCTTTCAGTTCCATTCAATTTCCCACTCATTCAGATTCTCAAATCTCTCTGGAGAACAAGGTTGGGGAATGTGTCCCATTGCCCCAGGCTAATGTATTCTGTGTGCACACTGATGCTGACTACACACAGGCCGCTCAGTCAGGCACACATGCTCTCTGGCTGCTTTCCTGCTGCAATGGCAGGGCTAAGTCACTGCTGGAGGAGCCATGTGGCTGACAGGGCTACAGCACTCACTCTCTGCTCCCTCCCAGAACACGTTGGCTAACCTCACCCTAGAGAACATCTTAGGCTATGGAAATGTTTTCTGCCTCTGTTGTCCAAGGTGGGAAGCATTGGCCACAGGTAGCTCAGAAACATTGAAAATGTGGCTGGCATGAAGGAACTGAATGTTGGACATGTACTTGATTCACATTTAAATTCCTCATGCTGCTAATGGCTACTGTGTTCACCAGCACAGCGAGCCTCCCCACTCGGTATTGCCCTCCATAGCCCTGATTCAACTCTCCACTCTCTGTGCTCCAGAACTCAGATTCATGCTGTAGGACTCAAGGAACTGGAACCGATTCCCTAACCTCCTCTACACAGTGTCTACATTCCCCAACCCCCTCTATTAAGTGACTCTATTACTGCTGTTACGTTTTCTCTTGGCCTCAGATTCTACTTTTTGTTCCCAAATCGCTCAATGAAGGTTGTAGATGAAACAGGTAATGCAACCATGTGAATGTGACTGAGCAAGTTTTCAAACCTGGGAAGCTGAGGTGTGAACTGCATAGGGAGCCATGGTGGCAGAACTGGAGGCCTTGCCGTCAGCACTTGGTGTCCAGAGCCCTCAGTGGTAATCAGTAAAGCTGGTGTTGCTCTTACCTGCCAGGGCTTGCTGTGGGGAGGATCTACAGGCACACCATTGACCACACGGCTGGAGGGGTTGGCGAAGTGGGTGGAGGGGATGTGGATTGGTGGGTGTGAGCCTGAGGCTAGAGAAGAGAGGAGAAGCATCAGTCAGCCAGATGGACCCCAAAAGGACAGGAAGTCAGGGTCCCAGTTCTAGAATACCATATATGGGTTGTGTGAGCCTGGGTAAGCTCCTTTCCCTCTATGATCCTCAGCAACAAACTATGAACAGTGAGCACTGGGACTAGAGCAGGGGTTTACAGAGTCCTGAGAATCCAATGGTTGAGATGAAAACACAGCCTCAGGTAATGGAACCCAAGAAAGTGTCTCTCTCTCTCTCTCTGTGTCTCTGTCTCTCTTTCTCTCTGTCTCTCTCTTCTCTCCCTCCCAGAACACATTAGTAGAATATTTCTGAAAGAGTAGAGGTTCTGAAATAAGATTTCCCGGGCTCAAAGCACAGAGACACTTGCTCCTGGATGATCTCCTTTACTTCTCTGAGGGTCAGTGTGCCTTTCTGTAAAACGTGACAATAACAGCACTGACCTTGTGCAGCAAAGAGAATTGATGACATGAGGTCATATGATAAACGTCCCTCAGTATAGCACATGATAAACATTAAGTGTTATCTCTTACCATGGTTGTCATTCAAGGGACTTTTCTTGTAATGTGGCAGAGACAAGGACAAGGTTGAATCACAGGCTTTGAAGACAGGTGGGGACAGTATGAGAGGAAAATTGGACCATTCAGCAGAGGAGTGGGAATTCTGTTCAATACAGTCCAAGCACAAAGCAGACTCTTATTCATGAAACTTTGTCCACTGCCCCACCAAAGACTCCCTCTGTAACACTTGGTGCTGCTCCCAGTCTTTCTTCTGAACTGGTCCATCTCTTGCCTACCCCCTCTCCTTACCTCAGCTCCAAGATGAAATCCTTCACTGTTGTGACCCAAGTACATGTTGAGACTTCTATGCAATCAGATGTTGGGGATCATAAAACCTAGGTCACGAGAATATCAGGGCTCCTGGCTTAGGGCAGTATAGGAAGAACAGATTTGGACTGGGGACTTACCCAGGGCCACAAGGAGGAGGGAGCTCAGCAGCCGGATCATTGTGGATCTGGAGAAGAAGGGAAGGAGAAACGGAACCAGTACTCTTATATAGGGCACAGAGAGGCAGAGGGGGCTGGGCTTGGCTGGGCCCCACTCCAGAACAGGTGGTGGAACACCAGATCTCCCATGGTCCAAGGCCATAGTCCGCACTCATTGCATATGGAGGAGTGATAGTCAGTGGAAATATCCAGCTTTTCCTGCATCATGTGCCTGCACAGGTGGTACTGGGTAGCCAGCTGATCACACAGAAACAGAATAGAAATTTGGCATCAGAACATGCCACCTCCTTCAGGGACTAACACAGGTGCTAAAACTCCTCATCCTTGATTCACATCCTGCCTGGGACACCTCCTGCCTCTGAGAGCTTGAGCACACATCTTCACTTCTCTGAATCTCAGATACCCCATCCCTAACATGGGATCAATGTTATAATCTGTCTCAATAAAGAGACCTTGTAAGCACCTGCTCTCAGTAGATCAGGCCCTCCTCTAGGGGCTTTACTGAGCACAATACATGATCCCCATCCTTCAGGAGTTTGAGTCTGAGTGGGAAAGAAAAAAAGAACAAATTAGTAAAAAGAAGCAAAGGCTGAGTCCAGATGTGGGGGAAGATGCTTCAGAGTGGATGAAGAACATGAGATGAGCAGCAATGAGACTATCTCACTAAGAGGGAAGCTAGAAAAGTGACATTTCAGCTGAAGGTTCATGGTCTGGTTGAATCCTGAAGGGAAAATAAAAGCTAGTCTTGATGCACACATCTGTGTTTGGCCTAGTAAAGACAGCACATGCAACAACTCCATTCCAAATGGAGTGCCTGTTTGATCCTAACTCTGGTCCTGTTTCCTGGCATGTTAAAAGCCAGAATATCATGGCTCAAGTACTCAGGTCCCTATTACCCACAGACTCACCTTGAGTTCCTGACTCTGGCTTTTGGTCGGGCTCAGTCCCTTTTGTTACAGGTATTTGGGCCAACGAATCAATCAATGGAAGAACTCCTTTTCTCTATGCCTTTAAATTAAATTAAAACAAAACTTTCACAAAGATGTATTTGGGACCAGCACTGTGGCACAGTGGTTTGAATCGTAGCCTGCAATGCTACCATCCAATGAACAGTAGTTTCAGGTGCATATTTTCTGCTTGCAATCCTGATCCCTGTTAAAACATCTGGGAAGACAACTGTTGATGGTCCAAATTCTGGGACCCTTGCACACACATGGGAGACCTGGATGCAGTTTCTTACTTGATCTCAACCTCACCCAACCACGGCTGTTGTGGCCATTTGGGAAACAAACCAGGAGGTGAAAATCTGTTCTCTCCTCCCACCCCCCCTTTCTTTGCCACCCTGCCTTTCAAATAAATTTTTTTTTTAAAACATATTGACTTTATAAATTTGAAGGCAGAAAACCAGAGACAAAGACAAATATTGCCAATATGCAGGCTCACTCCCCTACTGCCTATAACAGCTGCGGCTGAACCAGATTGAGTCTAAGACTGCAAGTTCTTCTCTCCGGTGTGAACACAGCACTGAAACATTACCTGCCACCCTTCAGCATGTACATTAGCAGAAAACTGGATTTGGAATGATCCTGGGACCCAAATGCAGGCACTCTGATATGAGTTGCAGGTGTTTCAAGAGAGATGTCATCTTTTTTTTTTTTTTGAAGATTTATTAAGCAGTCACAGAGTGTCAGGCAAGGAGCAGGGTGAAATCCTTTGCTCACCATCCATACAGACCAACCTGCAGGCTCATCTAGAGGAGAAGAGACAATCTAAATCCTCTTGAAGAAAATATTTGACACTTTAACACTTTGAGTTCGACAAATCCTACAGATAAACTGAAAGGTGGATGGGTGAAGGGAGGACAGAAGCTGTCATCTCACTAATAGAGGCCAGATTCACAGCAGGTGATGTCAGCACCATGGGTATCCAAAATGCGATTAGGAACCAAGAGAAGAATCAAAGAAAGAAACAAATTATAGCAGGTGTTCTTTGCCAGTTTCACTACCAGGAAGACACGGTTAGTTATGAACTGATTGGTTTAGCCAGAAGTGGGGACAATTTGATACATTTAAGAGGAACTGAGGCACAGCACGGGGCCTCCTGGTGGAAGCTGCCTTGCTGCAGAATGGGACTCCAGTGTGAGACTCAAGCACCATGCAGTATGCTCCAAGGGTAAGGAGAAGCCCATTGTTAAGGTCAGTGGGGCATGGGGGAGGGTGCACTATAACACAGAATGAGCTCAGATCTGATTCGCATTTTGTGAAACTCTTCTCCTGGGTGCTGCATGGAGAATGGGAGGGGTTATGGAGAAAGGAAACAACTGAGTTTGGTCACCTGGGCAGAGCCTAGGTCTGTGGGGATAGCGAGGAACGGGCTTGTCTTGGGACAGGGAAGATGGACATGCAGAGTGAGTCATAGTACATAGCCTCTTCCGGAAGTTAGAAGGAAATCAGGACCTTTCCATTGATCCATGAGGACCTCTTTCCATTTTACCAGAGGCTTAGGGGAGGATCCAATATGAGAACAATGTCTCGAGAATGAGCTCTCACCATTTTGATCCAAATTAAGATGGTTAAGCACAAATAAGGCATGATTTAAAATTCATTTAACATTCATTGAATGTTTGAATTCACCCTGCTGTAATTTGGATATTTGAATTTTTAAAATGTGGTTAGAACGCTCAGCTATAGCTTGACCTTGGGTGTTGTAAGGAATTCCAGTGCAATGAGAAATAGAGAACATAGAACAAAATGATTGAAATGCCTTAGAAGTATATGCTGGAGCATTGTCTGTCTTTATAGCTTTAGGACAACCAAGTACTGCAAAGCAAGCACATAAATGTTGTGTAACATCTTTCACTGCTTCTCCAGTTCGAGCCGTAGCCCAAATTACATGTGAAAAGGTGTCAACAACAACATGCACATACGCTACTCGTCCAAAGCTGGCAACGTGGGTAACATCCATTTGCCACAAATCATTAGGCCTCAAACCTTTAGGGTTAACTCCCATCTTAGGGGCGGAATGCACCTCAGGACAGATTGTACATTCTCGCACAATAACTCGAGCCGCCTCGCGGGGGAGACGAAACTGGAATCTAAGTGCAGTAGCATTTTGATGGTGAAGAGCATGGTTTTCTTCTGCAGCCTGAACTGTGCCCACAAGAGTTTTTGTTAGGGAGTCAGCAAGTGCATTGCTCTCATGCACTGGTCCAGGCAGATTAGAATGGACTCTCACATGTTCGACAAAAAAAAGGCAAGTTCCTAAGATAAATTAGATCCTGTAGCTGGGTAAGCAAGGCAATGATGGCAGTGTGGCTGCCAGTTAAAGGAGTAGTCTCTATATGTGGGAAAAGAGTGGCAATATAAGATGAATCTGTATAAAGGTTAAAAGCAACATCCTTTAAACGTTTAAATGCCTCAATAACAGCACAGAGTTCCACTCTCTGGGCTGATTTCTCCTCTGTCTTAAAGGAAATTTTTTGAGAATCTATAATTAAAGAAGCCATTCCATTTGATGATCCATCTGTAAAGACTAAGGAAGCAGGTTGAGGCACAGGAGTCGAGGAACAATTTTTTTGAAATATAACAGGATGGTCTTTAATAAAATGTAAAAGGGGGTTTTTGGGTAAGTGATGTGAAATTTTACCCACAAAGGTTAAGAGAGCAATTTGCCATGTCTCATCCTCCGATATTAAGTAAGTAAGCTGCTCAGAACTATAGGGAATAATTATTTCATCTACATCTTTACCAAACATTTCCTTACTCCTATGACGTCCTTTTGAAATTAAGGTAGAAATCAAAACACAGTAAAGAGTAATAACCTTTTTATGCATGAAAGGGAGGTGTAGCCATTCTAAAGGACCCTTGTTGCCATAAGCATCCAGTTGGGGTATGAACAGTGGGTAGAATAATTAACTGCCAGGGGAGGTTATAGTCAATCCTAAGAACTCTGTTTTGAGATAATTTAGACTCAAACAACTGTAATGCCTTTCTTGCCTCATCTGTCAGTAGTCGTCGAGACCGTGGGTTAGAGTCTCCTCTTAATATATTAAACAAAGGCTGTAGGTCAGCAGTAGTTAATTTTAAATAGGGACGTAACCAATTTATATCTCCCAAAAGTTTTTGGAAGTCATTAAGAGTTGTTAGATTATCCATTCTGAGCTGTAAAGTCTGGGGTGAAACGAAATCAGAATGTATTTGCCGTCCTAAAAAATTATAAGGAGGTTGTACTTGAATTTTTTCAGGAGCTACTATCAAGCCATGATTAGTCAAGACTTCAACTAATTGAGCAAGGGCTGTTTGTAGAAAAGCTCTGTCCCTGTGAGAAATTAATATATCATCCATATAGTGAATAACATAAATTGTTGGAAATTTTTTCCTAAACTCTGTAAGGCTAAGTCCACAAATTTTTGACACAAGGTAGGACTGTTTTTCATACCTTGGGGCAAAACTTTCCATTGAAACCGTTGAAAAGGTCGTTTTAAGTTAGTGGAAGGCAGGCTAAAAGCAAAATTAGACCTATCATTTGGGTGCAAAGGAATGGTAAAAAAAACACTCTTGTAAATCTACAACAATGATATTATCTCCCCTCAGAACTGCAACAGGGGAGGGCAGTCCTGGCTGAAGAGCTCCCATGGGCTCCATAACAGTATTAACTTTCCTTAAATCCTGAAGTAATCTCCATTTTCCTAATTTTTTCTTGATGACAAAGATTGGAGTATTCCAAGGACTAGTAGAAGGTTCTAAATGTCCTAACAAAAGTTGTTCATTAATTAATTGATATGCTGCCTGTAATTTTTCTGTGGTTAGGGGCCACTGTTCTACCCACACAGGCGTGGAAGAGGTCCATATTATAGGGACTGCTGTTGTTTGGACAGTGGCCCCAATCAAAAATCCTGATATCCTAAGCCTGCTTTGTCATGCTTTGGTCGGATGGAGACAGGACATGTCCTTCCCTGCAGAGACTTACCCAGGCCTCTGTCAGGATGAAAACCCATTTGTAACATTTGTGAGGTTACAAGCTCATTAGGACTCACAAGTAAAAGGCCCATCTGTGCCATGACATCCCTCCCCCACAAGGAGATTGGGAGAGACGGCACGACGTAAGGAGAAAAGGTTCCTTGCTGCTCCCCATCTGACCAAG